CCCCAACCCTGTTTCAACACTGGCAAGAAAATTCCCACTCCATGTTTGAAACCGTGCAACAGTATATTGTGGCATTCGATTAATATCCCGTCGAAAATTTCCACTCAGTCCTAAGAGCAAGAACAAAAGAAACAGATTCAGCTGACCAGATTGCATTCAAAGCAAAAGAGATTGATGCATGCAAGCATGAACTTCATTCTTTTAAGTCTGTCTTTGTGCCAACTAAGATATTCAACTACAACTCAAAGAGAATTATAATAATATGTTGAAGGCAAAGGCTTTAATCACCTTTTTATACAACCGGCCCCAGAGGTACAGTACAGTAAATTATACCAGAATATGCATGCACTATAAAACGGAAGAAAAACTACAAAATCTTCCCAATGAAAACAGCGTTATTTCGATCGGTTTTGACGATATGATGCGGCTACAGAGCGCAATCACGGCGGTAATTCAAACATCGATATTTCGCGTTCGGTGTCGAAATTTAAAAAGTCCCACGACAAAATTCAAGATATATGTATTTTCTATTAGAATCTTTCGGTTTTGGGTAAAAAAAGTTTATATTGTAGCTCACGGAAGCCTTAGATTACGATAATATTTTCTCGCTCTTTTTGTTTACGTTTTTAAATTTTAAGCATTCTGATTGGTCAAGAGCGAAAATGTAAACAAACGCGCTGATTGGCTTAGAACGAAATCTGCCCTTGTTCAAGGATATATGTTATTCGGCGATTTATTACCATGGTATCAAAATAACGAAATTCTTTATCATATTAAACTATCAGTGCAGTGTCCGAATTGTCAATTTATTATTGTTGTTATTTAAAAGTATCAAACTTGCTGACTCTGCATAAAGTGCGAGTGAGGCACCCAAATACACGGAAACTGCAACGAACCACGCATGCATATTCGCAGAAAAGTTTGTAAAAGATCAAATATAGACACGAGCAAAGCTCATATACGATGCTGTATACAATGTTTCCCTTTTAACTGGTTATATCATAATTGGCAATGTTTTTATAATCACTATTTCTAGATCTGGTTATTAAACTGTTCTTTGTCGAGGTCTAGTGTAAGGTACACTTAATTTATACTGCATGGGCAACTCTATCATGCAGTGTTCTTACCTGAAATCAGAGAAAGGGCGGCACTTAAACTCTTAAACTCTTCTTGACATTCCTCCCAAAATTACTTTGTTTTAGTTTAATTTTGTAGTTTGCGCAGTTGACTACCCTTTTAAATGTATCTGGCGGTTCAGAAACACAAAATAATAGTTAAATATTGTCAATTTGAACACAATTATCATTGATGCTGTAAATAGACGCCATCTTTATACGGCCGCGAAAGTTACTGAACTTCAGACATTCTTTTGTGTTTGGCGTGTACCATGTATCGAAAACCTTTTCATTTTAGCGTAATTCTACAGATGAAGCACTACAGTAACATGCGTGTTACGTTATATAACAAACAAAAAATTCTAGCTCCTCTTAACTAACTTTATAATTATATAGCTAGTTATATATACTGCATATAGCTCTATCAGTTCTAAATTGCGTTTGCATGCATGGAGGTATATTGTGTTTGGTTGAATCACGAACTCTGAAATGCATGAAGAATTGTCAGATATAGACACTTTACTTGCCATTGCATTGTGGCATTAATTATTTCAAAGAAAATATTATTTTTATTTTCTTTTATCCCCAAACCTACACGGATATTCCGCCGATTATTATTATAAGTAATAGCATAAAAAGAAGCGAATTAGCTATTAAAACGTCCCGCCCGATGAGGGTCGTTTAGTATAATTCCCTTGGGCGCCGCTCGATGAGGGTCATTTAGTAAAATAAATGACCCGAATCGAGCGGCGCCCAAGGGAATTTTACTAAACGACCCTCATCGGGCGGGACGTTTCAATAGCTAATTCGCTTCTTTTTATGCTATTACCTTATAATATCATGATTGCGGGTATTCCCGTTGTTCTGGCAGGGTGTATTAGTTATTAATTGCCCTGCGAGAACAAAGGGAATACCTGCAATCATGATATTATAGCACCAATAAAGACCGAACGTAACTAAGGGGCTGTTCACACTAGCAATTTAGATCGATCAAAAAGCGGTCTCAGTCCGTATCGGGCCAAGTGTGGACAGCCCAAAACGAACCGAGATCGAATCGAGGTCGAATTAAACTAGACCACCTCGGTAGGTAGTCTCGGATCGGTTCGCGCATTTAGACCGAGCTAGTTTTGGTGCTTAGCTGCCTGGCAATTTTTCGCGCGTTTTTTCTCCAGAGTTTTGATCGAAATTGCTCGACCGCCATTTTTTTTGTTGTTCGTCGAAGTTCTGCAAAATAATCTAGCTTTACCATGGCTAAACGAGGAGAAACCTGGAGTGATGATGAAGTATTGGCATTAATATCGATGGAGTCAAGAATCAATTTTAAAGATGCTGGCAACATCACGTAAAAACAAGGACATATA